GGCCCCTGGACACCCTGAGGCACAATACGCCTCGATCCACTACATGGAGTGTGACGGGATACGCCGACAGTCATGTTGAGAGCCTCGAGCTACTGCATACCTGCAAGACCTCTCAGCATACTGTACTCCTGCACGACTACGAAGAGCGTTCTACCTAAATCTACTGTGTCCCGTTTTTTCCATAAGGCAAAGCGAACCACTTCAGCCCACACGTTGCGTAGCGCTCCACGCGTCACCTGCACGCGAGCGCGGCAGACGACACTTGGAACTTCGACTCCCAGACCTCCACATGTGCCTGCTCATCATCCGCAGGAAAAATGGCGCACCGCTCTTACTCTCTTGGGAAGAGGCAGAGGACAACGTTGAACTTCTGTGCATGTCTTTCTGTGCTTTCTTGATGTGTGTCGGACCGCGTTTGATTTATGCGTGCTTCTGTATTGAATACATGCGTGTACAGGTGTGGAAGGAATTCCATGGTCTGATGTCGCAATGACGATGGATCGTGCCGAGAAAATCTCGAAAGTGGCGCGTCTCTGAGACATCTCGCGATGACCGCCGCGCCTGCATGTCACCGAGCGCTAACCGCCACGACGACCTGCCGACACGAACGCGGGGCGAATGGAGAAGAATATGACTCACATCATATGCAAAAATGGAGATCTCGTAGCGGTGCTGGGCTACGTGCGGAATTTGCGCACACCAGCCACCTCGTGCCAAAAACCACAGTAGGCGCGTGCGTTCGGGCCGCAAGCCAAGTCACCATTGACGTGGTGGTCGTGGTCGTCGTCGTCGGCGCCGTCGTTGTCCTTTCGTCATCGTCGTCATCGTCATCGCCATCACATTCGAAGCCATGGGAAAGAAAGTGCCGCGCGCTGACCGCACGGTGGAAGCTCAACATGAAGCGAGAGTGCCGGCAACCAATATTCTGCGCGCTCGCTTCCAGGAACCCCCGTGGCAAGCAAAAGTACAACAAAGCACAGGCGCTTCTCCATGCCAACCGCAAAGATGATGCTAGTAGGCGGAGACTATCACGGGTAGGCGGAGCGAAGCTCACAACCACACTCCAATACTAGAAGCCAGAGTGGCAACGACAACAACGCTGGTCGGGAACGATCGCTGGTTTCGACGACGGCCGCCCTCTGTCTTGCCTCCCAACTCCTTCCCTCCCGCCTCCTCTTCCGACTCCTCCTGCTTCGGGCCATAGAATACACGTACAGGGAAACAGACACATGCTTGCACCAGACAACTGTCGGCATGTTTCGCTGGGGTTCCTCGTCGGCGATGGCACTACCACTACTGCGTCTACATTTACTACAACGACTACTACGACTACTACGACGACTCCTACTATTACTACTCCCACTACTACTTCTACTGCTACTACGAGGTCTACTACAACTACTGCTGCTACTACTCATCGTACTACTGCTGCTCTGCCTCCTGATCCTACTACTACTACTGCGAGCACTACTCCTTCTACCACGACACCTACATCTACTGCCACTGAAACTTGTCGTGTCGCTACTACTGCTAATACTACTACTACCACTACACGGAAGCGAGAGGAAGGAGGAAGAAGGGAGCTATGCGGAGCCCAGCGGACACACGCCTGACACACACCACTGTCGGCATGCTTCACAAGAGGTGTTGCTGTGAGATGGGCTGGTGGGGGCACGCGAAGCGTAAAGAATTCCGTGGGTTCCTGGAGGATCCAGCGGAGTCGGGGACCACGCGGATCTAGCCGATACCTCATGGCTCCCCAGGAAGCTACAAACTGTGCAACTGTCGCCACTTTCGTGGGCTCCTGGGAGGCACGGCGGAGACGAGGGCAGCGATGATCGTGCATATCTGGCGATGTGTTCTTCTGTATGGGGCGTCCATACAAATATTCGCCTCGCGTGGAGAAGGGTTTGAATACGTCTCGGGCAATTCCCAACCATCCTGTGGTGTTGGGTGCTCGTTTTGAATCAGCACCGCCCCGCGCCCTCCTCTTCACCTCCTCATTATCCTCCCCCTCCCTCCTTCTGTCCGCGTGTCCGCAACATCATCATCATCATCATCATCATCATCATCATCATCATCATCATCATCATCATCATCATCATCATCAGCATCATAATCAACATCGTCATCATCATCATCAGCAGCATCATCAGCAGCATCAGCATCTTCATCACCACCACCAACCTCATCATCATCAGCATCATCTGAACTATCATCATCACCATCACCATCATCACCATCATCCTCATCATCAGCATCATCATCATCATCATCATCATCAACATTAGCATCAGCCTCACCATCAGCAGCATGATCATCACTATGACCACTATGACCATGACCATGCGCATGACCATGGCTATCAGCATCAACAGCATCATCGACATCATCATCATCATCATCATCATCAGCATCATCAGTATCGTCATCATCAGCAGCTTCGTCCTCATCATGCTCATCATCATCGTCGTCGTCATGATCATCATCATCATCAGCATCATCAGCACCACCACCACCATCGTAATCATCATCACCATCAGCATCATCATCGCCATCGTCATCGCCATCGCCATCGTCATTGTCATCGTCATCGTCATCATCATCATCACCATCATCATCATCATCATCATCATCATCATCATCATCATCGACAACATCATCATCAGCATCACCATCATCATCAGCGTCATCACCATCATCACCATCATCACCAGCATCGTCACAATCAGCATCAGCATCAGCATCAGCATCAGCATCAGCATCAGCATCAGCATCACAATCGTCATCATCATCATCATCATCATCATCATCATCATCATCATCATCATCATCGACAGCAGCATCATCAACGTCATCACCATCACCATCATCGTCATGTTCATCATCATCACCATCATCATCAGCATTACCATATTCATCGCCATCGCCATCATCATCATCATAATCATCATCACCCCCGGCATCATTCTCATCACCATCAGCGCCATCAGCGTCATCATCATCATGATCATCATCGTCAGCATTATCGTCATCATCACAACCATCAACGTCATCGTCATTAACGCCATCATCATCGCACTCACCATCACCATCACCAGCACCATCAGAACCATCATCAGCATCAGCACCAGCATCAACATCAACATCATCATCATCAACAACATCAGCATCATCATCAACATCAACATCCTCATCATCATCATCATCCTCATCATCATCGTCATCGTCATCATCATCATCACCACCACCACCATCATCATCATCATCGTCGTCATCGTCATCGTCATCGTCATCGTCATCATCATCATCATCATCATCATCCAATCCCCTAACATAATCAGCATGAGTGATACCAGTATCCTCCCTTTGGCACACCCCTCACACGCTTCGTGGCCCCAGGGAGGATTCCACATAAGGCCCCACTGGCAGGAAGCGCATGCGTGACGGCGCCCATGACGCCACACCCCCCACACGCTTCGTGGCCCCAGAGGGCGCTACACCGGTGGGCATAGTGGCAGGAATCGCATGCTAGACAGCGCACACCCCTCACTCGCTTTGTGGCTCTATAGGGAGCTCCACCGAAGGCCCCAGCGTCAGGAATCACATGCGTGACGGCGCCTATTTCGGCACACCCCTCACACGTTTCGTGGCCCCATAAGGAACTCCACCTACGGCCCCTGTGGCAAGAATCGCATGCGTGACGGCGCCCATGTCGGCACACCCCTCACGCGCTTCGTGTTACCATAGGGAGCTCCACCGCATGCCCCAGTGCCAGCAATCGCATTGGTGACCGCGCCCATGTCGGCGCACCCCTCACACGCTTCGTGGCTCCACAGCAAGCCCCATCGAGGGCCCCAACGCCAAGAATCGCATGCGTGACGGCGCCGATGTCGGCACACCCCTCACGCGCTTCGTGGCCCCACAGGGAGCCCGACCGAAAGCCCCAATTGCAAAAACCGCGTGCGTAACGGCTCCCATCTCGGCACACCCGTCACACGCTTCGTGGCCGCGGAGGGAGATCCACATAAGGCCCCAGTGGCAAGAATGGCATGCGTGACGGCGCCCATGTCGGCACGCAACTCGCGCGCTTCGTGTTACCATAGGGAGCTCCACATGAGGCCCCAATGGCGCAGGCGTGCTGGCGCCCATGTCGGCGCAATCCCGACCCGCTTCGTGGCCCCAGAAGCAACTCCACCAAAGGCCCCGACGCCAGGAATCACATGCGTGACGGCGCCCACGTCGGCGACTCCCTCAAACGCGCCGTGGCCCCAGTGGCAAGAATCGCATGCGTGACAGCGCCCATTCCGATACATCCATCACACGGCTCGTGGCAGCAGAGGGAGCCCCACCGAAGGCCCCAGTGGCAGAGTTCACATGCCGCTCCCCTCCCATTTCGGCACACCCCTCAAGCGCTTCGTGGCCCCACAAGGAGATCCACTGACAGCCCCAGTGGCAAGGTTCGCATGCGGTTCCACGTTCATGTCGGCACATCCCTAACATGTTTCGTGGCCCCATGCCTCGTTCGACTGCTCGCCTTTTCGGTCGCGTGCCGCGGGCGACACGCTCGATTCACTGGAACTCCTTTGGGGGCGACCAGCGCACCTCGCGGGGGCTCCTCAACGTCCGGCTTCTTTGCGGGGGACCGGTTTACTCTTTGCGGGCGCCTAAAAAAAAGAAGCTCCCGAGCGCCCGATCGCTCGTCGCCACTATCCCTGCGTGCCCTCATCCGCCCTCATCCTCCTCCTCCGCACCCCAGTCCTTCTGCTGGGCCCCCCCCGCTTCTCACTGCCTCGCAATGCTCGCAGCTGCATGTGGTTGGGTCCCTCGCCAGGATCTTCTCGCTGGTGGGAGGAGGGGGGCTCGGGGGTGGAAAATATTCTCATACGTTCTACGAGGCAGGATTCTCTTTCGAAGGGGGCCGGGCGGGGCAAATTGGAGTGAGGCTTACGCGAATGAATTGTCTGGCAGAGGAAGGAGCGAGGATGGGGAGAATTTGTTTTGGGAATGGGGAGAAGGATTTGTGGATCGTGCTGCCCTCTTCTTCTGCCCCTGGAACAAGTAGCTCGCTGGTAAGTGCATGATGCGGCAAGGAAGGAAAAAGGTAGGAGGTGGGGATGGTGGAAGTAGGAATGCGGAAAAGAGGAGGAATGGGCGGAAAATTCGAAGGATGCCTTCCCACAAGAACTCCAACCACCGTGCAACGGACCTGTATGGAGAAGGTACCTACTCGCAATAGTGGCTGGTGCCGGTGACCAGCTTGAAGAAACCCTCAGACGTAAGACAATTCTCGCGGAATCTCAGCAAACGCGGCGAGAACTTGGCCCACCAGGTGTCCAAATTCTCGGCCGTGACCTCCTCCCAGGCATCAAGGATCACGATGGGCCACCCCAACTTGGGCCAATCGTCGTAGGCAGCGTAGCCGTCCCTGATGACGATCGGCACGGTCAGCACGAGCAGCGCCTCGTCCGTCTTGGGAGAGAGGATCCCTCCGCCGCCGGGCGCCAGCAGGAACTTGTACTTCGCGAGCTCCGAGAAGTACTCCCGGGGCTCGATCATGCGGTGCTGCACCCCGGCCGCCTTGGCGGCCTCCGTCTCCACCCACCCCTGGAGCAGCTGTCGGCTCTTGATGCCTCCGAGCTTGCGCATGTATCCCCAGGCTCCGAGGGCTGCGTAAGGCTTGGCGTCGACGCTCGCCGCGGCGATCGCCTTCTCGGCGACGTCCCACGTCTTGCGGAAATAATACTCGTTCAGTCCGACCGGAGCCGTAGTCACGCCCTCCCACGGGATGTCCTTAGCCTGGAAGAACAGGCCGCCCTTGAAGAGCTTCTTCAGCCTCTCGATCGTCTCCTCGTCGAGCATGCTGAGGAACATGTCACCGGTGAAGTAGGCGGACCTGTCCTGGCGCCCGTGGGGGAAGTTCTCCTCCAGCGTCTCGATGATATGCTCCACCGCCTCGTGGTTGGCGCCGCCCCACACCGTACGGGGGTCCTTGGTCGGCACCTTGGCCTTCGGGGTCCTGGCGTACCTACGAAACCAATCGCACCGCACAAGCACACTTCCTCGGAAGTCCGCGCGGATTTCCTGGATCGGCGCTGGACCCCCCTCCACTGGCGCGCGGAGCGCGCCGGAGGCGCCGCGAGGGGGCTCAAGCGGCGATCTAAGAGAATCCGCGCCTACCTGCGAAATGATATGTTTATGTTTGTTGCTGTTGCTGCTGATGTTGTTGTTGTGGTTGTGGTTGTGGTTGCTGTTGTTGTTGCTGCTGCTGCCGCTGTTGTTGTTGTTGTTGTTGTTGTCGATGTTGATGTTGATGTTGTTGTTGGTATTGTTATTGTTCGTGTTGTTGCTATTGTTGTTGTTGTCGTCGTTGTTGTTATTGTTGTTGCTATTGTAAGTCAAGCGCCGCGCCCCCGACACTCAGGCATCCAGGAGTCGCGCTCACGCTTAGGACTCCCTACGCAGATCACTGAAAAATCGGAAGCTCGCTGCCCTTCGTAACCGAGTTGCAGCCCTTCGTGGCCCCCTCGCTGCCTTTCGTGGCCCCGTCGCAGCCCTTCGTGACCTCCTCACTGCCGTTCGTGGTCCCGTTGCAACCATTCGAGGCCCCCGCGTTGCCCTTCGTGGCCCCGTTGCAACCCTTCCTGGCCCACTCGCCGCCCTTCGTGGCCCCTTTGTAGCCTTTCGTGGCCCCCTCGCTGCCCTTCGTGGCCCCGCTGTCGCCCTTCGTGGCCCCTTCGCTGCCCTTCGTGGCCCCATACATGCGCGCCCTTCGTGGCGCTCGCTCGTTCGCGCCCGTCGCGGCTCCATGTGCATGCGCTTGTGGCCCCGCTGTCGCCCTGCCCTTCGTGGTCCCGTCGCTGCCCTCAGTGGCTCAATCCTTGCCCTCTGCGGCCCAACTATACGCGTGCCCTTCGTGGCCCCCGCTTGTTCGCGCCCGTCGCGGCCCCATGTAAATGCCCCTCGTGGCCCCGCTGTCGCCCTTTGTGGCCCCCTCGCTGCCCTACGTGGCCCCGTTGCTACCCTCAGTGGCCCCGCATTAACTATCTGCCCTTCGTGGCCCCCGCCCGTTCGCGCCCTTCGTGGCCCCATACGGATGCCCATCGTGGCCCCGCTGTCGCCCTTCGTGGTCCCCTCGCTGCCCTTCGTGGCTCCATCACTGCCCTTCGTGGCCCCGCTGTCGCTCTCGCTCTCGCTCGCGCTTTCGCTCGTCGTCGTGGTCGGTCCCCTGTCCGCCCCGCTTGGGGTCGGATTGCCGCCGGTCAGCGCTGCCGCTGGCCAGGCCGACGGTCCGCGGCCGCCCCGCCGCTTGCCGGGGCCCGGCCTGCAGGGAAGAAAGATACACCCCCAAAGGTGGTCCGATCGAAAACGCAGACGGCGGGTATCGAGGGCTTGGGAAATGCGCGTCGAAGGAGCCTCGAGCAGCTGAGAGCGAACGGTCTTAAACTTCTTGCTGTGGATGGTGCTGCTGTTGCTGCTGTCCATCGGCCCCCGACGTCGCGCCCTCTTGCTGCAGCCCCGCCCCGCCCCCTCTCGAGGGCGACGAAAGGGGGGCGAACAGCACAGGGGGGAGGGCAGCACACACGCACCCAGGGGGCTGTTGATGGTGTTGCTGCTGTTGATGGTGTTGTTCGCTTCTCCTCGGCCCCCCGACAGTCGCGCCCTCTTGCTGTAGCCCCGCCCCCGCCCCCCTTCGAGGGCGACGAAAGGGGGGCGAACAGCATCCAGGGGGAGGGCAATACACACACGCACCCAGGGGGCTGTGGATGGTGTTGCTGCTGCTGTGGATGGTGTTGCTGCTGCTGCTCCTCGGCCCCCCGACAGTCGCGCCCTCTTGCCGCAGCCCCGCCCCCGCCCCCCTCTCGAGGGCGACGAAAGGGGGGCGAACGAATAGCATCCAGGGGGAGGGCAATACACACACGCACCCGAGGGGCGCCGGTGGTCCGTGCCCTTCGGAGAGAGGCTCCCGGGCGAATGCGCGTACAGAAGAATTACAGGGCAATTTCTAACACATAGGATTTTTAAGCAAATATGATTTTTAAGTAATGATTCATTTATGAATAAGAGTATGCATGAACTCATCGTTGTTTTTAATACTAAACCCTGCATTTTTGATACATGATCCGCACGCGGAGCATGTATTAAAAACGGCACTGGAAGAGAAACGCCAAAAAACATCGACCTTTGGCGCTCCGCGCGCATTTCTCGGATCTGCGCGCGAACCCGCCTCCTTGGCGCTCGGAGCGCGCCAGGGGCGGCGCCGCCGGGGGCCCAGCGCAGATCCACGCCCGGGGGGCCCAGCGCATATCCAAGAAATCCGCGGTGAGTGTCGAAAGTTTGTGTTCGTGCCGTTTTGTCTTCGGCGAGCGAAGACGTGTGATGCCCACCCGTGAGCTTTTTCTGATTCGGCGTTTCGACGTTGGGCGGAGCGGGGGGAGGGGGGGATCTGGCTCCGGACCTCTGCTGAATAATGCCACTGTCTGCAGCAGTGCGTCCTATGGGGGAGGCCCCACCTGCCGGAGACCCCACCTGCCCGAGACAGCCGAGATCTACTCCATGCAGGGGGGGGGGGTGCGAGGGCCCGCGCCGATCGGCAAACCACTGAAACAACAGCGATCCCATGCATGTATCCAGAGACGCTGGTGGCCCATGCCTTCGGAGAGGCTCCCGGGCGAATACGTGCAGTGCCCGCCCCCGGGCTAGGCGCCCCCATCGTCGCCTCCGACCCTTCGATGGCAACTCATGGGAGCCTCCCACACCATCTTGTGGGATCTTGCGAATCGACGCTAGTCGACGCCAAACAGACGCACATCGACGCCAAATCGATGCTGACCGACGCTGGATCGGCGCTATATCTCATCGACTCCCAGATGCTAGTCGACGCTAATCGACGCTAAAGGCGGAACTAAGAGAATACGCTTAGAAAATCCAGGGTTCGCTAGGGACTGGTTTTCTTCCAAAACAGCTGAAACCATCCCGAACCCCCCAAGAACCTTCCTGGAAGAGTTCTGGGAGGCTTGTCCGAAGGTTTCGGAAGGGTTTTGGAAGGATTTTCCTCGTTTGGGGGGAAGCCAGTATCCCATGACTTTTTCGAGGGTCGGGGACGACGCCGGGGTGGTGTGGTGTATACCTGTTCCCCGTTCCCTGGGGAAGCAGCGGAAAATGTATACACCAGGATCCCGTATGTACCAAGTCTCAGTGCAGGGCCGGAACAAAAACATCGGTGTATCGAGTTCGGTTCCCTGGCCAGGACGAGGATACATCGAGAATCTCCGAGATCTCGCGGCTCTGGAGGATGCATCGGGCGTCGCGGCCTCCTCAGAGCGTGCCGGAACGCTCTGAGAGGGTTCGGGAACGCTCTGGAACGGATGTCTTCTCATCCTGGCCCCGTCCGGGCTTCTCCCCCGGGTGCCAGTCGAACATGTCGGGGAGGCCCCCGACGCCTCGGCACATGGGGTAGCGCTTGATGAACGCGAAGAACTCGGGGTCCTGCGGCTGCAGCGGCGGCCACTTCTCCGGGACCGCGACGCCGTCCCCGGAGATCTCCGGCGACGCGCACGAGCGGGCAAGGCGAGGGGCGAGGGGGGTCGAACAGGGACCGACCGTCCTGGCAATCCTACTCCCCCAAACACCGCTTCCGCTTAGGGGTTCTTCTTTGCTTGTCTTAGAGAACTGGACCTGTCTGGCGGTCGGGCGGCTCCGTGGTCGCCGTCGCCACCTCGTCGCCGCCTGTGGTCTGGGCCTGGGGGGTCGGTCTGGCGTTTCCATGGTCGCCGTCGCCGACCCATCGCCAACAGGGACTGCACCACATAGATTCTCCTCCCCGAAAGAAAATCGATCCCCCCATTGAGTTCATGGTTTCCTCCACGGGAGATGCAACTCACATATGATGATGCCCCTCCGCTCATTTACAATGTGAATTGTGACCATCCTCCTCATTCCTTGTCAAACAAGTCAATGCACGCAAACTCGCTTACAACAAACATTTATTACAAACACACCATTTGCAACAGTATGTACAGGAGTCCACACGCGAGCGCCGTCGCGCGTTCATGCCGATATGCTCTACAAGCCGTAGCTTGTATGGCTTAAGATTGAGATTCCCGAAGGATGTAATACCAAAGTTTGCAAAACGGTTTTTCACAACAGTTTGCGCGCGCGCTCCTGCGAATTCTGATGAGAACCATCGGGGTTCAACATCCTCATCAAATACGACCCAGCGGGCCTTCGCGCGCGCGCATGTCGGAATCATTCGAGCGCCCTTGCGCGCTTGTTCGGGGGGGAGAGGAGCGGTCCCTGTCAAATCCGCCGACCCCCGCTTGCCAGGGGTGACAAGGCGCGTGAGATGATTGGCTGTCCCCCCCGTTCCCCCTCCCCCATATTCCAAGATCTCGTTTTGAGAAAACGGGTGCCCAGGCTCCCCGTCGCATCCGTGAAGACCCAGGAGCTTCCTAATCGGCACTCCACGGCTTCGAAGACATTCCAAGACGGTCCCGAATCGCCGACCGGTTGGCCAAAGACGCCTAAGATGGCCCCACGACGCCCCAAAAGAGGCCCAAGCGCCTTCCCAATAGGGCCCCGACCCTACGAAGGCCCCAAGACGGACCAAGAAGGTTCCACAATGGCCCAAACTCGGCCACCAAAGAAACACGCAAGAAAGCTACAGAGAGAGGTCAAGAGGGGTAACGCGAACCGAAAATCCCATCTCTGTGCCCCACGAGGACAGCCGGAAGCCCCAAGAAACCCCCAAACGGCCCAAAAGAAGCGCACGATAAGTCCCAAAAGAGGAAAACCAAAAAAACAAAACTGCCCATGAGACGCTTCAAAATTGCCTCTAAAAGGCTCCACCAGGCCCCCAGACAGCTCCCAAGACGCCCACAAGAGCCCCAGAAGAATGCCCATCAAACCCACGACGCCTCAACCGTGGACTCCCTGGCTCTTGCGGGGTCGGCGGAATGGCGTCAAAATGTTGAATCACACAATGTGGGCCTTTCGCGCCCGTCGGCCACGCGCGCATGTCGAAACCCGTCCAGAGCCTTCATCGCCGACGCGTGGACACGATCATCCTCATAGGCGTGATCAGCACCGGCGCCGTCATTGGCCTTGCCGTCGTCATCGTCATCGTCGTCGCCAGCATCGCCACTATCATCATCGCGTCTGCCGACGTCGGCGTCGCCGCGATACCGCGCCCGCCCGAGCCACCGACTCGCAGTGAACTGCCCGCGCGTCAGCGCGGCCTGCTAGACGCACTGGGGCTCCCCAGTCCCCGACGCCATCGCGGCCGCGTCGGTCGCGCCAGACTAGCTGGCCGGTCTGCCCGCGGCCGCCACCACGCGCTGGCCTGCGCCGAACAATTATCGCAGTCGCCGCCGCGTGGGTTTTGCAAACTACGTTGCGGGTGATTGCACGAGCAGTGACGTAGACAACTCCAGACTCATGGGAATTAGCAGCGCCACATAGTTGCACGCGTAACATGTACAATTGCATCAAACAGACTGCTATTGAAAAGCACGGTTAGGGGCCCAGACTGGCGAACATCTGCTTCGAACGAAAGAACCTTCCAATGACAAAAACATGACGAGGCGATTCGTTTCTCTAGCGCCTAACATTCTGTGCAAAAGAAACCCTGGAAAATCGCCGCGACGCCTGCGGCGTGGAACGCCAAAACAACGGCACGAGCATCGCGCCGAGACATCTCGGGGCCCGGCCGTTGAGATCTCAAATCTATCCCGAGCCAGAGAGGGTGGCAAGCGGGCGGGAGACGAACGAAAGAAGCGAGGCTTACGCACAAACGTTTTGGACATGGAGGGGAGTCGGCAGCAGCGAACCTCGACGCCCCCAAAATTTCGCGCGTCATCTCCGTGCAGCGCGCGCCCATGACGCGGCGATTCGTTCTTCTAGCGGCTAACGTTCCGCGCAACGGAACCCTGAAAAGTCGCCGCGACGCCTGCGGTGCGGATCGCACAAACAACGGCCCGAGCATCGCGCCGAGACATCTCGGGGCTCGGCCGTTGAGATCGTATATCCGTCCCAAATATGTCCCTAAGCTGGCGCGGGCCAGCTTGCACATTGTGATCGAACGAACGCAGGGGCGCCAAAAAGGTTCCCGCGACCGCGTGGCGCAGCGCGACGGAAGCTGAGAAACGGTTCAAACGCAAACTCTCTGGGAACGATGCGGGCCAGGCCGACGGAGCCCCCTAAGTTCCCGATGCCAGATTCCCGAGCAGAAGGAGGGCGCTGGACGGCGATTTCTACTCCCGAGAGCGCCAGGGGCACCGCCGATGCAGAAGTCGCACCGCATCCGGCATTTTGAGAGCCGTCGCCTTTCAAACGTGTCGCAGTTGTAGTGGAGGCCACGGAAAGGCACGGGCGTCTCAGGGCAGGCGCAGAGAACGCGGTAAACGCGATTGAGCGCAGCCGCGTGCCAGCCAATCTCGGCGATCACGCCGAGGGCGCGCCCGCGGAGGATGTCCGTCGCCAGCGCGTCGTCAAGAGACGCGCGCGGCAGGGCTCCGACATCTCAACTGGGAACCGCGCCTACTAACGCTCTCGCCGAGCTCTCGGCAGTGGGGGGGCCCAAACAGCAATGCAGCACGTGCCTGCGCTCGCGTTGGGGCAGCAGCGGCGACTGCCTGGCCCTTCAATGAGATAGCTTCTGGACGCGCCTCGCGCAGCTGTGCGCGCGCCTGGAACGTTCTTGAATGACGCCCCCAGGTCCCGCTGAAGAAGGCGTGCTTCTTGCGACGCTGGAGGCTCGCTTGTTGTCTTCCAGCTCGCAAGTTGCCCGATGGCCCCCATGCCGCGCGGCGTCGTGGGAGGTCTCTGGGCGGCGGGCCTGGCACGGCGCGATGTCGATCTGAAGGCGCGAGGAGGAAGGACTTCGCCAACTCTGGGTTGCTGAAGCGCCGCGGCGGCGCCCCTGTCGCGCAAGCCTCGCGCAACTCCAGCGGCCCCTGTAGCGGCCTCCAGAAGCCATGGCCCGCAGTGCAGCTCTGGTCGAACGCGTCTACCTCGCGGGTCACCCCCCAATGACTGAGGGCCGAGTTCGGGCGGACCATGGCCTCGGGCCGCAATGCCGGGAGGCTCCCTGGGCGGCAACGCATGCTCCGCATCATCGGCGCCACGAGAACCATTCCCGGCTTCGCGCCGATGACGAGCCCGTCGGCGATGGCCGCCCAGGCGGGAGAGGCCTGCGGCGTGCGAGCTGGAGGCGGCACCGCGCGCGCCCAGCCCGTCAGCGCCCGCCACGTCCGTTGCAGCCCAAGGAGTCCGACCTCGTCGAACTGCGGCAGCACGGGCAGCGCAAGCAGAGCGACCGAACTGTCGGGGCCGATGTCCTGAGCTCGCTCCACCACCGACCAGTTCGCGAGAGCCTCGAGCTCCCTCGCATAGCGGCCGTCGGTCCGAGCTCGTACGGTGCACTGCTCCAGCGCGCTGACCTCATGTTGCTGCGTGTCCCGCTCCGTCAGCTCCTCCTGCAGCCAGCGCTCCGGCCGCCGCTTCCCGCGCCGTTCCAGCCTGCGGGCGCGCGTAAGCGCCCCGCCCTTGCCGTCGGACTCGCGCGAAGTGGAGTCTGACCGCGCGCTCGGCCTCGGCGCCGCGCCGCCCGTGCCTTGCATTGGGATGCGGTGGGACTCCGCCGCCCCCTCTACCCCGAAGCCTGGGCATAGCTCGGCCCGGCGTCGAGGCCGGGGGGGCGCCGCGGGCCCCGCGGCGCCCTGGCCGCCCGCGGCTCGCCTCGCGGCGCCGCGCGGCACAGGCGCGCGCCGAGGTCCAAACCCGCCGAACCGTCGGCCGCGAGAAGCTTCGCGACGCAGATGACAGGGCCTCGGCGCGCAGCAGCTCCTTCTCGCGGCGAGCGACCTGGCGCGGGCTCACCCTGCCAGCCCCCGCAGCCCCCATGCGCCGCGGGCCGCCGACGCGCCGAGAAATGGCCCCGAGACTCGGAGAAACTCGGGTCCGAAATGGCTACGGTGGGATGTCGATGCGGGGGTCTCATTACATTGCCATCGGGGCGCGATTCCAGAAAATCGCAGAGCCGAAGGACCTTGACGATCGCGGGGCTCGCGCGACCACGGCCAACGTGCCCCCCCCGCCCCCCCCCCCCCCAAAAAAAAAAAAACACTCCCCAGGGCCGCGCCGCGTCTCGGGGAGGTCGCCCCCCCCCCCCCCCCTCTCCATGCCCTCAGTGTCTTCTACAACGCCCCGTCAAAAGCAACCTCGCCAGGGCTCGCCCTCGGCCCGCGGAACTTTCCCGATGGGGGGGCTCGGCATTATGCGAGCGAGCGAGACGGCCAGTCCGCTGGGTTGGGCTCAGACGGAATCCATACGACTGCGACGCCGGCATCCCTGGCGAGGCATAGGCAGGGCGGTCTGCTCAACATTAATTAGAAACTGTAGTTCCTGGTGCGATACCGGTTGCAACAAAGAACGAGAGCACGGCCATCACAGAAGAGGATCTGCCCCATGCTGCGACCTCGGCTCGTGAGAAGGACGTGCTCGACCCCGACGAGGAAAGCGCGAGCTTCAAACAATATTATGTTTTCATCGTGGCGGGAGGGCCAACCGCCGCGCACGCGCCGTGCATCCTCGCCGAGGTCCGCAGCAAGTGTTCCCTCCAACTCGCCCGCAGACTCGAGCCCCTGAGCCCCGACCGTGCCCAGCTGCTCCAGCCCTGGCACGCCCGCAGCTGGAAGCGCATCTCGCAGCGCCGCCTCTCGGGCCCGAGTGCGCCCAGGATGGCGGCAGCGGCCCCGCCCCCGCGAGCGGCCGTAGCGCGAGGTGCGCTCGGGGCCGAGCCCACGCATGCACGCGCCAAAGCCCTCTTCGCAGGCGACGGCGGCACAGGCGACACCGTTCCACCGCAGCTCTCAAGAGGCCACGATGGTCACAAGCAGCCCGAGGAAGCAGGTGAGCTACTGCCTGACGCTGGGCCAGTTCTCCGACGCCTCGTAGTAGTGCTTCCACATGTAGCTGTACACGGTGCTGAAGCACGCGAGGCTCCCTCTGCGGATGAGGCCCGCAAGCGCGCAATGCCCGATCACGATCTCCATCGCCTGCCCGCTCACGCGTTGCCGCCTCAAGAGCCCCCGCAGCGCCTGCCGCAGCCGCCGGCACCGCCGACAGCTGAGCCGCGAGTGCCGCCTGCCAGCGCCCAGCGCAACGCCCAGCGCCTCGACCTCGCCCTCCGAGATCTCCAGCTCGTGTGTCGGCCCCTTTCCTCGAAACTGGCGACCGGCTGCTCCATGGTGCTCGCGGCGACCTAGCGACTGCGCCCGAACGCGCCCACATTGCCCACGTACGCGCATTGCCGAACCTGTCTCCCGTCTCGGAGGCACCCCAGCAGCAGGGGCTTTTCGTGATCGACCAGGAGTTCACAGCGATCGATCACCGACGCCGTGGGTTCCTCATCGACGTCCTGAGCGTAGAACAGCGACCTGGTGAAACCCGTGGGCACCGCGATGGCCAACGGCACGACCTCGTCCGAGACCAAGAGTTTCTTGTCCTCTAGCTCTCGAAGGCCGAGCTCTTTGAGGCCCTCGTGGCCCACGTCGTTGCTGCAATGGGAGCTCGACTGCAAGAAGCCTCCCACAAGAGACCGAACCCTGAGACCCCAGGGCGCCCATTGATTGTCGGTTGCAATACCGAAAATCACCCAAGAAACCCAGGGCACCCTGGAGGCAAGCAGGGTGCTTCTTTACTTGGGTTTCCACTGCAAGGCTGTCGGGCCGCGGCCCGAGCAATTCGGCCACCCTGGGCGACCCGGGCAGCGGCCACCACGTGCCCCTGCGGTGGCCCTGCGACCTCTTTTCTTGCGGCCCGCGGGCGCCAAGTGGTCCAAAACAGCCAAACGCCGGTCAGCAAGCGGCGGGGTGCACCAGGAGCGGCTTGATGCACGAAGGCGACGAGAGAAGGGAGGGGAAGGAGGAGGAGCGGATCGCGCCAAGGAGGAGGGTCAGGCGCGGAAATCCGCGCGGACTTCCAACAGTGTCTGTTACTGTGGTCTGTTCCTCGAACCTTGGGCCAGGAGCACTTTGAAGAGGTCCTGTGACACGCAAGTCAGTAGACACAAATAACAGGATCCCCCAAATGTTCCCATACTTTCTGGGTTGTCGTCTCCCCCCCACTTCCCATATTTTCCTATATTTCTGGGGGAATCGACGATGAATTGGGCCTGTCTGTTTTTTCCTCCTGACGTAGCAACACCCGACTTGGCTGCCCGCCCCCGCCCCGCCCACGTCCCGCGCGCCGCCGGGCCGTGCAGCGCCGCCGCGAAGGGCCCACCGCAGGCCACGAGGGCCGCGACAGCGGCCCGCCCGGCCATGGCTCCTCGGACGGGTCGGGCAGGGTTCGGTCGGGCGTGTCCTCCCACAGGAAGAGTTCTCGGGGGTGGGCAGAACGCGTGGCCGAGGCATCTTCAAATGCGGGAGGGCCTTCGAGATGCGCCTTTCGTTCTTCGAAGTCCGCCCCCCTCGCCAAGCCCCGAAAACAGATCCGTTCAGGGGCGGCCTCGCCTTGTTCTGCCTCTCTGGCCTCTTCTGAATTCGATCGGGGATGGGCAGAACCACCTTTAGCAAAACGTGGTTTAGTGAAAACGACCTCGGGCCCAAACCTGGCGGGCGCAAGCCTGGGAAAATGACGGCCGCGGCGCCCTCTCGAGAACCGAGAACGGACAATTCGCGAATCGACGTGTCAGGGTGGGGGCTCTGTCCACACCCCGATTTCGAAGGGAAAAATTAAACATACTCCAAAAATAATCAAACATATAGTCAAAACAAAAGCACGGCAAAACGTCACTCGCCAATCTTTGCACTATCCTCTAATCTGTTCCTCCCGTCGGGGAACACGCCCGACTTCAGAGAAGGGGATCGACTCCAGAATTGATTTGCCCCGAGCCTCGAACTTCGAAACTTCGGGCGTCCTCGAGGTTCGAGGCGACGGCCGATGTGTTTCCCCCGCCGAACGCTGGCCCATCCGAAGAGGGCATCGACTTCAGAGTTGATTTACCCCAGGATTGCTTTTCCGTCGAATCTACAAAAAGACGCAGAATGCTCCGTACATCCATGGAGCGCCCTGCGTATTCTTCGTAGCTTCGGCGAGAAGATCATATTTGGAGTACATGAATTCTGTAGTCGATCAGGAAGAGGAGGAGGAGGAGAAGGAGGAGGAGGAGGATCGGGAGGAGGAGGAGGAGGAGGAGGAGGAGGAGGATCGGGATGAGGAGGAGGAGGAGGAGGAGGAGGAGGAGGAGGAGGAGGAGGAGGAGGATCCCCCATTCGACTGGGGCAGCGCTCGGCGGGGGAAACGTCGGGCCTCGCACGTCGAGGAGCCCCGAAGCTTCGAGCTTCGAGGCCTGGGCTTGCTGGACGCCTCCGGCCGTACTCGGCGGCTCTCTTTCCAGCCTTGTGGTGCCCTCCAGCGGCTGCGCCTCGCCGGAGGCCATCTGGGGGTGCCAGGGATCAGGGCTCGACCAAAGTATTGCTGCTCGTTCTCGTTTTGGTTTCGTGCTCCCTCGTTTTGTCTTTATTCCGCCTTCGTTGCAGAACGAAGTCAAAAGAAAGACGGTCCACGAAATCGCTAAAACACCGTGTAGGTCGAGCGAGCCCTGCTGGGGATCGTCCCGAACAGCCGCTGGAGGCCCGAATTATGACCCGAAAGCCACCAGGGGACCGGCTCAGGGGGAAGTATCGACCTGGAATCGGCGAGACGTCGCTGGTAGATCAGCGGTATGCCACCGATGGCGAATCTGGACGCTCATGGGCGGGGTGGGCTATCAGGCCCCCGTCGGTGATTAGTGGATGATTGGGGGTCGATGCGTCCTCCTGTGAGCCTACGGTCGGGAGCTTTTGCTCAGCATGTCGCGGCGGCGGCCCTGGCGACACGCTATGCCTTGCAAGCGGATGGCGTGTCGCTCCGCTCTGCGGAGCGCGAGGCCAGGAAATGCTCGGAAGGTTGACGCTGGGGGGCCCAGAAGTGGATAGCGTACCGCGCCGAAGCGCGGTGGGCCAGAATAGAGGCCTCCTAGATGGGGTCCGGATAGATGGGATCCCGCCGCATCGCCGATGCATCGGCGGTGCATCGGCGACGCCGGCGAGGAGAAAATGGGCTCCACATCGAGGAGCATCGTCGATGCATCGACGATGCGGCGCGATCCTCCGACCCCACCTACTCGGGCCCCATCTGAGAGGCCGGGAGCTGGGGGGCCCAGAAGTGGATACATGCGCGTCACGGCGGAGCGTGGTGGGCCAAGACCGGCGGAGCGAGACGCTAGGCCGAAGTTCCCGACTGCATCCCCCTCTAAAGTTGCCCTTCTGATCCTCGTGCTGTGCAATATTACAGGTACGTCGGGCATGTCCTCCTACAGGCGAATTTTGGAAGAAACGCGTAATCAATACATAATCGAAAATGGTCAAAAGAGCACCAGAAATCGTCGCCAGTCTTTTTTTACTCTTCTTGAATCTTCCTCCTGTAGAGGGGCATGCCCGACTTAAGCCCAGAAGTGGATAGCGTATGGCGCCGAAGCGCGGTGGGCCAGAACCGGCAGAGCGACACGCTGAGCCATCCCCCCCCTAACTAGACTAGCAGAGTAGCTACTCGCAAATGGTCTGGATCCGCCGCGGGGGATTTACGATATTCCAGCGAGGCGAACCAATATGTTGTTTGTCGGACGTTTGCGAGCAGGCACGTATGGAAGAAACAAATGCATAAACATAACCTTTTGGTGCTCCGCGCGGAAATTCTTGGATCTGCGCCGGGCCCCAATAGCTGGCGCGCGGAGCGCGCCGGGGGGGCCCAGCGCAGATCCAAGAAGTCCGCGCGGAGCGCCAAACGTTGATGTTGATGGCGTTTTTGTTTTTTTCTCCTTCGAGAGTAGGCACTTTCTGCGAATAGCGGAACGCGCTCGGCGCCCGACGTCGCCCCTGCTCCTCGTGCAGTGCAGTGCTACGGAAGGGGGGCCGCGCGCCCGTGCGCGGGAGCCGCGCGCGCGCGGGGGCCGCGCGCTCGCGCGGCCCCTCGGTGACCCGGGCGTCGCAGTCTGATCGCGGCGGCCGCTCTCGTCGACGCTCTCGGCCCCACGAGAGGAGGAATATTACTCACTGCGTGGAGATCCCATGCTCAAGAGGGGGAAGAAGGAGTAGGAGGAATTACTCACTGCGAGGAGGAATTACTCACTGCGAGGATGAATTACTCACTGCGTGGAGATCCTGTACTCCAGAGAGAGAAGAAGGAGTAGGAGGCGTCCAAGTAATAACAAGAGCCCCATCTTAGGATATGGGGAACAAGCGGCGTGAGCATAGGCTTTTGGCGCCCCGCGCGGATGTCGTGGAGCTGCGCTGGGCCCCCCTCCCTGGCGCACGGAGCGCGCCAGGGCCGGCGCCGGAGGCGCCGCCCGGGGGCCCCAACGCAGACCCAAGAAATCCGCGCAGAGCGACAGCCGTTTCTGTTTATGTCTTTCTTCTTCTTCTTCTTCTTCGTCTTCTTCTTCTTCTTCTTCTTCTTCTTCTTCTTCGGCGCGCGACGATCCTGAGAGCGTGCTGACTCCAACGCGCGCTTGTCCACCGAGGCCCTTCACTGCGACGCAGGCGGCGTGAGGAGAGCAGGTGCCGGCTGCGTGCCGCCGGCGGAGCTGCACGGGGCCAACCCCCACAGCGGGCCAGCGCACGCTTGAATGCCCGCATCGAGCCTGGCGGCGGGCCCCCCGGGAGTGTCGGAACAACGGCTCCGGGATGGGGCGCCCAGCCCGGAGGAGGGGCCGAGGTCCCCAAAGGCCCACGCGCCACACCACAGAGCGCGACGCCGAGGGGAGAGGGATGGAGGACGGGCCGGCGGGCCGGCCGCGGCCCTCGAGCCCGAGTGGGTGCGGCGGTGAGGGTGCCCACCTGCCTGGTCCTCCACCAGGTCCGACACCAGAGACCTCCCCTGATCCTCCGCCAGGTCTGGCGGGAAGCCTTCCCCCCACATCGGCCAGACCTCCCAGGAGGGCCCTCCGGCGAGGCAGAGGAGGCCTCCGCGAGATCTCCCCTGGTCCTCCACCCCAGAGGGGTGAGGGGGTGTGTCGGAGGGGTGTGTGTCGTGGACAACGGAGGTCTCCGGGGGGACAAGCGGAGGTCTCCGGCAGGCCTCCCCTGGTCCTCCACCAGGCCTGGGGGAGGCCTTCCCTGTCCCTCCACCAGGTCTCCCCCCAGACCTTCCCCCAGGCTGGGGGGAGGCCTTCCCCAGACCTGTGTGCTGTGTGAGGCCTCCCCGCCAGACTTGAGGGAGGGCCTCCCACCAGCCCGGGGTCAGGTCTCCCCCAGACTGGGGGAGGCCTCCTCCTCCTCCTCCTCCTCCTCCTCCTCCTCCTCCTCCTCCTCCTCCTCCTCCTCCTCCTCCTCCCTCTGCACTCCTCCTCCTCCTCCTCCTCCTCCTCCTCCTCCTCCTCCTCCCTCCTCCTCCTCCTCCTCCTCCTCCCTCTGCACTCCTCCTCCTCCTCCTCCTCCTCCTCCTCCTCCTCCTCCTCCTCCTCCTCCCTCCGCACTCCTCATCGTTCGGCCGAGCCGAGCCGGGGCGCGGGTCGCCCGAAATGGGCGGCGGCGGTGGCGGCGGCGGCAGCGGTTGCGGCATGTTGCAGCGGCGGCGGCGGCGGCGGCGGCGACGACGACGACGACGACGACGTCGACAAAGACGACGACGACGGCGACGACGGCAACGACGGCGGCGGCGGCGACGACGGAAACGACGACGTCCCAAGCAAGCTCTAATGGGCTCCTCCTCCTCCTCCGCCTCCTCCTTCTCCTCCTCCTCCTTCTCCTCCTCCTCCTTCTCCTCCTCCTCCTCCTTTTCTGGTATGGTGCATCATCTGACTTGCACGCGAACGCCCACACGGGCAGGCCGGGTCGGGCGGGCGGGACATTCAAGCATGTCGCATCCTCGGGTCGGGTCGGATCGGGCGGGCCAGACCCTGGCGAGCGGGTGCCGACCCCGAGGGGGGGAGCAGTTCCCTCACGGGCGGGTCGGGTCGGGAGGCCGGGACATTGTACGGTTGGCGCGAGAAAGCCGCAACGTGCGGGTCGGGTCGGGCGGGTGGGACCCTAACGGGCGGTCCGGGCCGGGCGGGACCCTAACTTAACGGGCGGGACGGGTCGGGCGGGCGGGACCCTGGCAGGCGGGTTTTGTCGGCCGGGCGGGACATTTAAATAAAGTGCATCACCTGGCTTGTACTCGAGCATCCACACGGGCCAGCCGGATCGGGCACGCGGGACATTCCAAGATATGGTGTAGCACCGGGTCGTGTCGGGCAGGCCGGATCCAGGGGGGCGGGTCGGGTCGGGCGGGACATGAAAGCATTGATGCATCATACAGTTGGCGCGAGAGAGCTGAAACGGGCGGGTCGGGTCGGGCGTGTTGTACCCAACTGGGCGGGCCGGGCCGAACGGAACTCCAACAGGCAGGTCGGGCCGGCACTCGGAGGGGCCCACGGAGGGCAGATCCCCTGAGGGGACCCCACCCCCCTCCTGCGATCGATGGCCTCCAGGACGACCCCGAACAAGCCCTCCAGGGCTCCAGGACCAAGAGGGCTTCAAGACGGAAATCCGGCGATACATTTGCGCACCAGAATGCGAGAGGGCCCCAAGATGAAACGAAAGAGTCCCAACATGACCCCAACAGGATTCAGTTCTCTGCAACACACATGTTTGATGATCTCTTGGGACCTGGGGTACCAAGACGACATTCCCCAGAGGGGACCCCCTCCTTCGATCGATGGCCTCCAGGACGACCCAGAACAGGCCCTCCAAGGCTCCAGAAAAGGGCTCCCAAGAAAGCTCCATTGAGGTCCCGAGAGGCCCTCAAGATGGAGCGAAAGAGTCCCAATAGGACCCCAACACTCCCCAGATCTCTGAATCATATCTTTTGAGTGACGTTCTTGGGACCTGGGGGCACCAGGAGTTCTTGAAAGGAGTCCACGAGAACCCCGACCTTACCCAGTCCTCTGAAACACGTTCTCTCGTTTTCTAGGGGGCGTCTGTTCTTTATGTCGGCGCGCCGCGGGAGAACCACCGCCAGACCTGCGAGAGGGCCAGGAGAAATCTCCGCGAGATTGTGGAAACCTCCGCTTCCTTCCTGCTTCTCCTCCCTGCTCCTCCTCCTCCTCCTCCTCCTTCTCCTCCTCATCCTCCCTCCTCCTCCTCCTCCTCCTCCTCCTCCTCCTCCTCCTCCTCCTGCTCCTGCTCCTGCTCCTCCTCCTCCTCCTCCTCCTCCGTGCTCCTGGTCCTGCTCCTGGTGGTCCTGCTCCTCCAACGCATCCCTGCCACTGCCACAGTGCGTCGGGCACCACCGTCTGTGGGTGGTGCCCGACCAACATGGCGGGGGGGTGGGCGTTACGTCGTGCCACCCCCCAATTCCCCCCCTCCTCCCCTCATAACTCCAGATATCGCCGCGAATCAAAACATGCAGCACTTCATGCGCATCTGAAAACCGTAAACCGGCTGGGGTCTATAGAGAGCAGAAATCCAGCCACATAGTAATCATCCCGACAAGCGAAGCCGTTTCGCAAACGCCCCCAAGGAAGGCATTGAACAGGGCAAGGCTATTTACTAAACGCCCAAGGCCGTTTAGTAGACGACAAATAATCAGGTCCGGGTGGTTGTCCCTCCCTTGAGCCTAGACTTCCTGGAACTTCTGCCTAGGTTGTCGCTGCGGCGGCCCAGCGGCAAGCTTTGCCCCGTGAACGGATAGCGTGTCGCTCCGCTCCGCGGGACGGGAGGCCCGGAAAAGCGCGGGACGTTGACGCCCGGGGACCCGGCAGTGGAGAGTGTGTCGCGCCGCCGCGTGGTGGGCCAAAACCTGCCGAGCGACACGTGAACCACAGCGGGGGTGCCCGACGGCCCCAACGTCGGTTGGTTTGGACGCCCGAAATGGGTACGGAAAGAATGGGTACAATGCCCAACAATAAATGTGGTCCCAAACCAACAGCGGCCGCTGCTGGGCAGGCGGCCTTCTGTCTCGAATGAGCACAGGCCGTGGCGGCGTGGACAGCGAGCCCTGTTCAAAATGAACAAGATCCGCTGCTGGGCATTGTACCCCTTCTTTCCGTGCCCATTTCGTTCGTGCAGAGTCGTACCCGTCGGGGTAGGGCTCCCAGACGCGCGACGGGACCCTGTCTGCGTTCGCCTGCGGAGGCAGCCCGACGGTGCCGCCGTTCCCAAGAGCCGGGCCTCCGCGGCCAGGTCCAGCAGCCCCCGCGGCGCCGCGCCCGGGGCGAGGCCGCTGTCCTGGGCCGGCCGCCCTACCCGGACGCCGAGAGGCGCGCGGCCTCCCGCGAAGTGCCCTGGGGGCCGCTCACTGCCGCCGTCGATCACCGGGGCCGCCTCGATCCTCCTCCTCCTCCTTCTCTTCCTCCTCCTCCTCCTCCTCCTGCTCCTCCTCCTCCTCCTCCTTCTCCTGATCCCCATCCCCTCCTCCTCCTCCTCCTCCTCCTCCTCCTCCTTCTTCCTCCTCCCCTCCTCCCCCTCCTTCTCGTCCTCATCCTCCTTCTCCTTCTCCTCCTCCTCCCTCCTCCTCTTCCTCCTCCTCCTCCTCCTCCTCCTCCCCCTCCTTCTCGTCCTCCTCATCCTCTTTCTCCTCCTCCTTCTCCTTCTCCTCTTCAATGCACCTCTTCAATCCTCCTCATCATTATCCTCCTCCTCCTCCTCATCATCATCACCATCACCATCACCATCACCATCACCATCACCATCACCATCACCATCACCATCACCATCACCATCACCATCACCATCACCATCACCATCATCATCATCATCATCATCATCACCATCATCATCATCATCATCATCATCATCATCATCATCATCACTTCCTCCTCCTTCTCCTCCTCCTCCTCGTTATCATGTTCCTGTTCCTCCTTCTTCTCCTCCTCCTCCTCCTCCTCGTCCTCCTCCTCCTTCTCATTAGTCTGAAGTGACTATGGTAAGTCAAGTAGCATCCGATTCCATGGGAAGCGGATGGCAGATAGCGTCCAATGCCATGCTGGGGTAGTTCAGTATGGGGAATGGACGAATAAGATAGGATAAGATCGATGTAATGATCTTTCCAGCACATAGCGAACACCAGCGGTGTCCGGGCAAATAGGGCGCGCGTGCCTGAAGCCGAAGGCAACGGCGCGCGAGCTATACTCCCGATCCTATATAACATCTCCCAAAGAGCTATCCTTAAAGTTCATTATCCTTCTCCTCCTCCTCCTCCTTCTCCTCCTCCTCTTCCTCCTCCTCCTCCTTCTCCTCCTCCTCCTCCCCCTCTTCGGTGCTGGAGCCCAGTCGTGTGCGGATACCGCCAGCATCGCCTACGAACCAACCTGATCCGTTTGGAATCCCACCAGCCCTTTAGGGCGTGAGATGGTTTGGGGGCGCTCCCTCTTCCCATCCCCTTCTTCCCGTCGGCCAGGGGCTTGCCCCTCCCCCTCCCCCTTCCCCCTGGCATCAGTCAGGTGGCCCAAAAACGTATCAGCAAGAAGGCAAACATCATTGATTTTCCTTGGGTGCTGGGCCCATTTTGGCCTCCTGGGGGAGAAAACAAATTGAGCCCCCCCCTGCTGTTAATCGATCGCCTCCAAGAGAGCTCATAGTGCCACAGGAGGCACCTGATATGCCCCAAGAGGCCTCCAAGAGCCCCCGGGGCGCCCAAGGAGGCCCCGAACAGCCGCCAGGAGGCCCCAAAGAGGTCCAAGAGGCCTCCGGGAGACATCCCACATCCCAAGAGACTCTGAGAAGCATCCAAGAAGCCGCTGGCCAACGGCGGCTCACCGAACTCTCCACATGATACTACGGTCCCCAAAGAAGGGCATCTCTCCTGGGCATCGCTCCTGATGGGTTGGAGCGATAAGAATTGCTGTGTTCGGCGATTTGAGGGGCTGAGCGGCCGTGCACTGGACCTG